AAAGAACAAACCCTGAAACACACTTTCATCTTGTGACATTCAGAGTATATGAGTATGTAAAAATGTATGAGGAATATCTGACAAATAGACACAACTTTTCTTTCAGTAGAAAATGCAAAAGAACCTCGCAGAGTATTTCAACACAGAAATCGGTAAGCGAATGATTACTGGAGACATTCGAGGTTGTTCATGATATAAAAGACACAAAAATGAAGAGAGAAATACGAGTTAAGAGAGGTGTATTTGTCTTCACAAGGCCATAAATTAAAGCATTTAGTCTATATGAGTAAGAATAAAAATTTACAAATAAAATACTGCTCAACAACAAGAGACACTTTCAGACGCCCAAAACATAATGTTTCAAATTGCCACGCCGGTTCTTCAATTGCCAGGAAAATATGTGGCTTAACTTTAAAATGGTTATCAATGCACACTGAAATTATAGATATCTGATGTTGGTGTTTCTCATCTTTTTAAAGAAACTTTGCAAGACAAAATGGACCCTGACTAAACTGAACAATAAAGAGAGTTGGGGAACACCCATCTGACCCTTCTGGAAGCAGTGAGGGACAAAGCTGTCCTTACAAAAGTCTGCCACTTTTGGTAACAGTAACAAACAAAACTCTCTATACTAAAAACTGACACGTTTGGTATCTCTTGAGGGAGAGAACTCTCTGCACTAAAGTCTGCCACTTTTGGTAAGAGACAAAACCGAGTTATAATAAAGTCAGCCACTTTTGGGAACAGAAAAAACTCTCCACACAAAGCATCAACGTTTGTCCTGTGAATGTAGCCGATATTTCTACCTATATTTTTAAAATTATGTTACTTTTGCTGAGATTCAGGAGATAGCCATAAGAGTATTTCTTCCATTGCAACATCAGTGAGAGGGAGTGCAACTGTTTACACACATCTACATTAACTCATTAAAGACGCACATTCTGGTCATTCCAAAGTCTGAACAAGCCTAACTTCATCATCCATACATATTTTCTCAATATATTTTCTAATTTTAGAGCCTGTTAAAAGCTTTTTTTTAAAACATGTAAACTATGAACTGTTCAATCTAGCGTTTCTGGTTTGTGTACGTAGCAGGTTCAATATGAGCCTCAACATTGCCTTTGTTCCGTTTCTGGTCAGACAAAAGTGTCCGATGCATCCCTAAAGAGTTAAAGTAAAGTACAGTCGAATATGTTCTAACAGTCAACTTTCCCAGACAATCACCTGTACCAATGACCACTTCCAGCCTCCTCCCTTGGCATTATTTAATATTATAGTTATATTGTTCAACATATCTACCTTTCTAAGAGAACCATTTCTCCCTTCAACAAATGGGTGGTTGTCTGGTACAATTTTGGCTGTATGCCCCAAATAATGTCTTTGTCCATTACGATGATCACAGCTAGCTGTTTAGTCCGCCTGACAGACATACCCGTGACCCAGTGTGACCCCCACCCCCGCGATGCTGTGCATTATGTCAATCAGTTCAATGTGTGTGTATGTGTGTTGAGTGCTTGCGCGCGCGCGCATGTGTGTGTGTGTGTGTGTGTGTGTGTGTGTGTGTGTGTGTGTGTGTGTGTGTGTGTGTGAGTGTGTGTGAATGTGTGTGTGCGTGTGTGTGTGGCAGGGGGGGGTTTACTTTTACCCTCACATTCACACAGAATTGACCATCTGTATCAGCAGAGGAACAGGCAGCCCCATGAATCCAGGTCACCTAGATTGACTAAATTAGGTTGAACATGTCACAAATAAAAAAAATTAGTCATTTCACTACCTTGGAATGATAAAGTTCTAGCTGTTCATTACCCAATTTTGAGAAATTTGGTACGAGCAAAAGCGTTCTCGAAAGTAATTCTTGGAATATTCAGATAACGACTCAGAATAATCTTATGACTTTGCTAGAGAAGATAGAGCATTTGATTTCTGATCTCATGGTCTTAGTAATTTTAAATGGTAAAAAATGTCAGCTACAACTTCGTAATTCTGAGGTAGCGATATGTCAGACAATAAAATCCACAGGGTAACAAATTGTCACTTACTCTGGGGAATTTTGATATGCTGTTACAAACATGTAGTATGTATAAAAAAACATACCAAAGAATATGTATACAAACTGGATCAATTGGTACAAGCAATTGCGTATCATGCACTTGAATAATAAGTATGTAAGTAGCTGATGTTACTTAAAGCTTTAAGTATTTTTTACACATAAATACAGCACTAATATTAGCTGCATGCGTCTCCTTTGTCTTCGAATTTTCCTTTCCGAGCTAGGACGGAATTTAATTTTGGTCAGTGAAAATAGAGCAAAGGGTCACTTACATTGTGGGCTACAATTTCTCACCAAATTAAGCTACAAAAGTGTTTTATACGTCAGCAAGAATGGTAATGAATGTAAAATCAGATTAAGTAAACTGCTGGGCTAAAACATCAAGCAAATTGCAATTCTTGGTGATAATACAAACCAGACTGAAAACAAAAAGAGCAAAAAAAGTACGTCAAATTTGCGAATCACCTACAGAGTAAAAATCAAATAGAGATTTCTAAGGAATTGTTTTCCATTTGTAATTTATTCAATCTAAATTCATTTCTGAATGCGCTTGTCATTTTTCATCGTAAAAAGATAGATATTCGCAAAGCTACAACCACAACATGAAACTATGCCAAATTGAAAAATGGTTCTTTTCATTCAAACAACCAACAAATCAATTCAACAGACCCCTAAAGATAATACCCAACTTCTATGTATAAAATACTAGTCACACAATGAACATATGGGTCCTTTTCAGTGTTTATTTGGAAGTAAACTATCCCATTCTTAATGGCCAATGACGCTGGTTACTCGTCTAAATATGACAACCTCACTGGCTGGTGCAATCGGCCACTCGTCTAAATATGATCACCTTACTGGCTGGTGCAATAGACCACTCGTCTAAATATGACCACCTCACTGGCCAGTGACACAGGCCACTCCGAGACAACAGATTAAATGACATGACACATGAAACATAGCCCGTGAGGTCATGAAGACCAATTAACAGGAGTTACCAGTGCAAGCTAATAAGTTTACCATACATTCCTATTACCCCATACTCTCTTGTACTGATATATGAAGTTTTGATCAATAACCAATGCTGAATTTTTAAAAAAAGAGTGAAGCATTTCTCGTATAAACATGAAACAAAACTCAATCATACTTTTAAGAAGCTAGATTATGCTGCCAAAGCTCAACATAAAACCCATGTTCTAAAAATCATTTGGTGCTGAAATATAATATTTCAGAGCGTATATTTTTTTTTTCATGATAAAAGTTGCATAAAGCAAATTTGTTCTCACAGAACATACCATTTGACACATTATTAGACAAACATTTGCACTCACTCTTTTAACATCCAGGTTTTCATTTTAAAATGTACAATTCAAAGAGCAAAAAAAATATCTACTTCATGCATATCTAGTGTACAATCAAATATTTTCTCCGTTAAGTACACCGACATTTGGTCCATGTGCATTGAGTACATTGCAAACATAATATACAAAGATTATAAATATTCATGAACATTAGACAACACTGTTAACTTGTTAATGCAATTTATTAACAGTAAAAAGTTTTCACCCAACACCCCCACCCCCCCCTCCCTCCAATATTACACAAAAAATACTCCAGCAATGGCAACAACATAATATTTTGTTAGCAGATATCTCTGAAAACTCTTCAGAAAAATAATTTTTACCTTTATGCATGTGTATTCCCAAAGAAATGCACACACAAAGACTATTATTCCCTTCCTTCACTTGTTCGTCGAAGCCTGTGATCAAAGTAGTAGATGAGAAAATGATTCTGGAGATGTACAGACACCAGTTTATGCACAAAAATTTTCATTATTTTATTCACTTTGAAAAACACTATCAAATCTTAGAAAAAAAAATTAAGGTCAGTTTAAAAACTGAGATGCAATAACAAAGTAACTGACGAACACTGAAAAGAAAAATCTAGCAATAGGCATACCATATGAAATCTATTTTTAAAATATTGATGTTCAGAATATATGAAAAAATTAATGGAACCAAGAAGGCACTTTCGATTTTGTAAACAACAGATTTGTGAGTGACGAGAGACGCCAATGGAATGATGTTGAATTATTATTAGTAAAAAATATTTTCACATGTAATAACATAAATTACGACATCGTTATTATGAATTAATTAAAGCATAGCTCAGAACCACTCGTGCAATGACTGAAACGATAAGTCTTAAAGCTGGAATATAATCTGCAAAAATAAAACTATGAAACAGAACATGTGCAAACAACAACACAAAAATACCTTACATTTGCAGGGAATATAGCGAAAACAAGATTTTAGACTTTTACACACTAGTTCACAAAGCTTCAATGATTGGGACAATCATTTATATAATGCCTCAGTTCATGAAAAAGCTTTTCGTCGACATAAAATGTTTCACACACATTATACTGGCATCACTCCTGGTGCTTTCTTTCCCTTTCATGTTTGTGAAAACTTCTGAATTCCTGCAACATATCAAGACAGTAAGCAAAAATCCAGACTTCAGCTTCAACATCTCATGACAACAGGAAAGCAAAAGAATGAGTGTTTCCGAAGAAAAAAAAGAAGAGTTCATACTGCTGAGGACAATCAAAGAAAGAGTATTTGCGGAGGCACTTTCTTTAGGTCAGATGGACTTCCTACCCAGTCAGGAGATTTCCTCAGTTACCAGCTACCAGTTGTAAGCAGCATCATTTCTTGCAAGAGCAGCTTACTGATAGAGTGCTGGGTACCCTGGGAATGAGATCTGGAGTGTTGTCAACACTAATGAGACAACCACTTTCACAGTCCGGAAATGTTTTCCATCTGCCTGTCACAATATTATTATAGGGTCACAAAACGGACAAAGTGTTCTCCCTTTGCAGGTTATATCCATGTCACTTCTACAGAATTGTGCCAACTGTCATAAACGTGTTCCAACTGTTGTTCTCATTTTAACATGTCCTCTGGAACTGCATTGTGTAGTTCATCACAACATAGTCTTCACTTGATGTCAGGTGACAAGGTTGAGTCTGAGGAGGAGCGTACACACAGAGAAAATGTAATTAGTTTAAAGTGTCATGCAGTTGCTAATGCCGTAAAACATTTACCAAAAAAAAGAACATTAAAAAAACGTATCTGAAAATACTGGAGGAGTCCAAAGGAAAAATTGGAATAGTAAAAAAACTGAAACTTATGAGAGTATCAATTTTGAATGCTTGGTGACTCATAACTGTATTTCTGTTCAACTGTTGGTTAATTGTTGCTGTTGTTAGATGTCTCATTCAACAAACATAACAATAAACCACCAATCTAACAAATGTGAAGTTATGAGTCCACAATAAGCTTTTAAAATTGACACCCTCACAATTTCCAGTTAATGACTATTCCTGTTTTTCTCAGGGGCTCCTCGCTTATTTTTAGCATTAAAGTAAAGCGACCTATAACACTGGCCAACGCACATTTTGCAGCAAGAGGTTTAAGACTTGATTTTACGTAATTTGGGGTTGCTGATTTAAGAAATGGCTTTAGTTTCTGCGTATCACATCAAGTTTTTGCTTTATGAATAATGTCTATTTTCGTGTAAACATATCAAAATGATTCAGGAGTTTTCACACAGTATGGCCTATAACTTGATTTAAACTTTTGCTTTAAAGAATTGGAGTAACTTGTTGAACCTTTAAATGCATGACTATTCATCCAAAGTAAGTAAGTGATCAATAAAATATTAATTTTATGCCAATATTTCTGAGTTATAAACGTAATAAAACACAACTAAATCCCTGAACATGCCTTACAAAAATGTAGCTCAGCCATCCATTTTGACTTTCAATCTTTACAAGAGAATGCCAAAGAATCTGGCAAAGGTATTGGTTTGTCTATAAAAATCGTATTTCAGCGTAAAAACAGTTTTTAAAAATTTAGTATTAGTAGGGTACCTAAGGATGAAAATCTTATATTTCACACAAATCGCCATCAAATCACAGTTGTTTTAGTCATCCAGAATTGAATGATTTGACAACTGTAGGTCAGCGAACTTAAAGTTTCAAGACCAAAATAAAATAAAATATATTACAGTACTTTTGCAACATACAAAGACTTTATCTTCTGTCACAACGTTCCAGGTTTCTTATGTGCTTTGGGTGTATCTGACTACGATCTGAATGAGTGGAGACTTTTCTTGGACAGTCCAAAAACAAATCTGAAATATGTGCTATACCATAACGGAAATTCATTTGGTTTCGTTCCTACCGGTAGCTTGGTTCTGTTAAAAAAGACTAGGCCTAAAGGAACATAAAAATAGTGCAGGATTGACTTGAATACAGAGACCGCTGCTAATAGATTTGTGTTTATCTGAAAATGGTCAATTTCTAATTTAACCAAAAGGGTTACTATACAAAATACCTATAATCTTTTTGTTTGTGGTTTAGTCAAGGAAATACACTGGGAGAAAAAAAAATGATTTGTGAGGACAGCTCCAACAGTTCGAGAAAAGAAACCATCAATAAACTGCTTATGTCCAGGGGAAATATCGTCTTTCCTCCACATAATAACAAATTATGCTAGATGAAACAATTTGTGAAAGCCCTGGACTTTGAGGGGGCCTGTTTTAAGTAGGTTGCAAAGTACAGCTTTTTCTAATCTCAGTTACGAGAAAGTTAGGGCTATTGTTTTCTGTGCCACCAAATCAGAAAGCTGATCACAGACTTGATTTAATAAAGACTTTACGACGATGGAGAAGATGTATCAAGGCCGATGGGGCATCAACACCGTCAAAGATAGATTACTGTTGAAAAATTCAAAGAGTTTTTCCAGACATATCACACTCCAGAGAATCCCGCAAAAGAGAGTTTGTCATGAATATGTTGTCTCTAACCTAGATACCTACAGTGTTTCTTAATGTTGTACCTCCTGCTATTGTGAAATTGAAAATTGACATGATTTATATAAATTTTAAAAAGCCATGATGTTTCGTATTGTTTCCTTACAAAGTTGGCACTTGTTATTATTATATCTAATTCAGTTGTATACACCACAAGAACACAGTCAGTGGTTATGCCATAGAGAAAAAACCTGACCTGTTAGTGCAAAACTGATGCCATTTTTTTTTTTCAGCGACCTCAGATTACTAAGTCAAGTCTCAAACTCCATGCTGCAGAAAAGAAGTTAAATTTTGTCAGCCAGTGTAACATGTTGGCAATATCATCCCTTGCCTTGAGCCCTGTTAACATTTTTTCTGCGCAAAGTGAAACCAAAAATGTTAAAATCTTGAGCAATTACCATTACCATTCCTGCTTTTGATGTAAAAGAATATCGTCGGCAAGCTGTTTAAATGTATTAAGTCCAAGACAGCAAAATTTTTCAGGAGACAGAAAAACTGTTTCATTTTTTTAACAATTGTACCCTCATTATGTATTTTTCTTACTCTTTTCAGCATTTAGAATTTGAATTTCAACAAAATATACATTGAGTATACACAACCAATATCACAGATTAATAAACTGCAATTAAATAAAAAAATTTTCTGAGATTTAGAGTACAGTCTCTTTTGCTTTTAAGACAGTGATTTAAGATTATGATTTTAGAAAAGGATTTCACACCATGATTTAAAACAGTGATTTAAGACTGTGATTTGACACAGAGATTTAAATCAGTTAATTTCTCTTCTCAAACCTTTCATCCTTACTTTACATTCTCTAAATCTAATTCTCCTTGACAGGATGTAATTTCTTGTGCTTTTAAAACAGTGAAGTCTGTTATTTTCTCTACTCAAATCTTTCCTCTGACCATTGATACTGATATAATAACTTTTCAACGATCCCCAAGCGAGTATTGAGTTCCTGCGTGCTGTCAGCATTGCTGACCACTAATGACACCACAGTGCCAGAAGGGAGAGAGAGGGAGAGATATAACTTACCACTGGTAATCCTTTGAGCGAATGGATAACTCGTACATTCAGGATTGTGCGAAAATGGTTACTGATGCTCAACTCCCACTGTGCTTTTGACGTCTGGTAGACACAAACAAACGTAGATGTCATTAGTTGGAATTACATGAGAAATATCTGTAGATATCATATACCACTTTGATAACAGTAGGCTTATTGTTAGCTGTGAGCACAACTTGTAAAAAATGTGTTCTGTGTGTTGGGGGGGAGGGGGAGGGGGAACTAAAGGTCCTTTTCTTTATTTTTAAAACAATTCAATTCGAAGCTGAAGCCTGGTTAGTGATGGTGATCCAAAAGAGCCCATATGACCAGCAGTTTGGTAGCAATGGAAATGTTGACATCTTTAGTTTCAACTATAAAAAATAGCACTATAAATAACATACTGGTGTAATAAGTTTTATACATCAAAATAAACATTGCATAATCATGCAGTTTGCTCATTTGGAATACACACTTGTGTATCTGAATGGAATTCCTAATAAACTTGAATCAATATAAAATCTTAGAACATCTTGTTCTCAAAAGAAAAAAAATTAGAGACTTGAAAGTATCAGAATGGTAAAAGTTTTTATAGATCAGCTGAGCAGTAAAATATGTGGTGAATCATGACTGCCAATGTCTGCATCAAAATCTATCACTGACAGAGAATTGTGTTAGAATGCAGTGGAATCACCTCAAAGCTTGTTAATTTATCTTACTTTTGATGAAATAATAATCATCTCTCTATAACAGAAGTCAAGATATCTGCGAATAAAGAAGGTTGGGTCACCTTGCATCAGAGCTAAAATTAACAAGAAAGTGGCTGCCAGTTTGCTGACTTTCAAAGCTTGGGTGTCCTTGGAAACTCCAAATTTACATTTTTTGTGCTTTGGATTACTTTTTTTCCCTGCTGAAATCCACACAAAAATGTGTTTTTGAGTGAACGTAAAGGGTGTGGAGCCAAAAAAACATTGATAGAAATTGACCAATGAGCAGGAAAAATGCCGGCCGGTTTCTTTGATTTCATTATTCTGATGAGCGCCTGAAATCACCATGATGCACCACAAATGGTATACATGTATATGGGTTGTTGCTGTTATCGATCCAGACATGTATAAGTAATAATATGAGAAAAAATTAAATTACCTGCTGCACCCCTGAGCCTTCAATGTTATTGTCCAGCTGATCTGTGGGGCAGTTCCACATGAAGGAAGATCCACAAAGGGCCATGTGACTCATTGTTGGAGTGCTGCAAGTCATTAAAAAAATATCAACATAAACGTTGAGAAAAATGAAAGTTGAGAAGATAATTAGAAACAACACTTGCACTGGAAATTTAACCAATTTTTCATAATCTCTTAAACCCCTCTCCTAGCAGGGCCAGGCTCATCCTAGATGACATGCACAAAGAGAAGGACAAGATTATGGACCGCATATTCCAGAAATGTCCGGCCAACTATCGAGATAAAACATGTCTGCTTGGACATTTCAGTGACCCACATTCAGAAATTTTCAAGGGCCTCTGAACAAGTATTGAGTTCCTGCGTGCTGTTAGCATC